CACCATGTGTGTGTCCAGCTCCACCACCATGTCCTGCCCCAGCTCCTGCTCCATCGTACCCTGCCCCTTCTTACGCTCCTGCAGCTTATCCAGCTGCATATGCTCCTTCAGGAGGAATACCACGTAAGAAGTTGGAAAATAAGTTTCATTCCTATCTATGTAGTACATTCCAGAGTACGCAGCACCGCCCAGCAAATACGCAGGAAAGTAGATATCAGGCTCAGGCTTTTCTTTAATGGGAAAAGAAGATGATTGTACATAATGGAGATTTTTGATAAAAATATGACTGTGAGCAGTTTAGTAAGTCTCCAAAATTATTTAATATAATGTAGCCCACTATCTCCTCCAAGAAAGAGAACTTCTCATGTTACCCCAAAGAATAAAGTTTCATTAGACGCAATCGCTCCTCTTTCTGTTATCACACACATTATGGATGCGGCGATAAGCATGCCAGCCGAAACTGATCATTGAAACGAAAAAGTATGTTTTGCATTTCTTTTTATTAACTTCAGGATAAAAATTTAACGCTTTCATCTGCTGGTTTTAGGTGAGCAGCACATTTGAGGTAAGTGCAGTTCGGTTGCAGGAATGCTTTTAGTTATGTAGATTTTTGTCTAAGTATAACTTCTGAATGGTTTGCACCTATTCATATTTTTATGATATGTGTTTGTTAATATGGCAATATGCTTTTGAGATCTCTTATTGGATTTTAAGTTGAAATTACTCCCTTTTTAAGCAATTAGCATACATAAAAACAATGACGGGAATGTAGAACCCTCTTTTTAGTATATTTAATTATTTTGCCGTACGCTATAAACTAGAATAACTTTAGGAAACAAATAAAAGACCTTATCCAAAAAAACCAAACCTAACCAAGAAAGTTAGTACCAGAAAGTCCCCTTTGCCACCTGTTACACTTTATTTTCATTAGAACACGCAAAAACATGGCTACTCACAAAAACTGGATGCGCACCATATTTTTTTTCAATTAACAATTAAAAGAGAACGGAACAGTCAAGAAACTCCTTATGGTGCCGTGATTGATTTCACGGTGGCGTTTTACAGGCGCATTGGAACTGTTGTGCATTTACAGAAAGAAGATCGAAACTTTCGCGTCGTCTATATGTATCGTCAGAATTTTATTACAAGGATGCAGTTTGAGATATGGGTACGGTATGTGATGATCGTGGTTGATTCTTC